TTTTCTCTAGTTGGCATATTCTTTTTTTCTACCTTGCACTAGTTACTACATGCAGTAGTTTTGTTAACTCGTACTTTTTCGCTGACGCTGAGACTCATAATTGTTCTCTTTCTTTTTTCCTCTCCTTTCTAATTTCTGTAATACTTTTAAGAATATATTGCATAATGTGTACACGTGCGTGTACGCGAAAAATATTTAATAATTCGCAATTTAAAAGTATAATAAAGTATATAAAAGAAAATTCGCCCTTCGGATTTTTACCGTGTTAATCAATAAATTAATTTTCTTTTTGTTGTGTTAATCCTCAGAAAAAGCGTGACTATTATTCGCAAATAAGGTCCTAACGCGAAGAAATAAAATTAAATCAATTCTCAACTTGACAAACAAGTCACTTAACGGGAAGAAACTCGCAGTCACGAGATCTCGGGAATCGTCTCAAATGTATATACACTCTGAAAGCCACACGGTTTGGGTTATCCTAACTCTGTCCCGATTTCCTGTGGACTTTACGACTTCGCTTGGCTTCGCGTGCCGAGCAAGAAAAATGTCACGGAAACGATCGAGGCGCGTCACGCTCCGCTCGATATGAAGGTAGCCGTGAAATTGGGAATTTAAGCACGGAAAGCGTGATTCGCGTTGTCGCCTCCTCGTCCTTCACCTCCTCCTCCTTCTCCGCCTCCTTCTTCTCCGCTATACAAGACTTTAATTGAGTCGGACTTTTTATCATTTGCACAAAAGATTCGCTTATCTTGGTTGAGTTTTCAGCAAAAAAGAACGCGGAAATTAAGAAAGACATTACTATGCTCATTAACGGCCCTTGCCCTATCCCATTGATCACGGTATTTCATCATTGTTAAATATAAAAAATAGATTCCCCTTTAGAATCTTATATATCTTGCAAAGCAAAATGCGTTTGCAATTAAATATAATAATATAAGAAGCAGATAAATACTGCAAGTATATATCCTATCAGTTTTTCTTTGACACGTAATTAAGTAATATAATTAGCGATCACAAGACATTCGTAATCTATATAAGTTTTGTCAAATATTTTATGTATAAATATTTTTGTATAAATTTGACAGAAATTTTCTTTATAAAACTAATAGTCAATTTTTCAAGTATTTATATTCACGAATGTCGAAAAGTATGAATATGAAATGAATATTTTCTTATGAATGTATTCCTATGAATGTGAATACATTCTTCCATTTATGACTCTAAGTATAAAATTTATATATATCCTTTATTTATACTAGATATAATATATTATATACACATATTTGTGAGTGCAAAAAAATATAATGGAAGGAACTTTCATTGTGTTACTGTCTACCTCGGCCATCTGTCGAGCCGAAATGGAGTCGAGAGTCGTTTTTAACGGACGTTCCTCCGCGAGCAGGAAAAGTAATAGTGTCATATTTGCGTAACAAGTGTCATACTAGAACTTTATCTCGCAAAGCCGACAGATGGGTCGACGTTTCGAGCTTATGTCGCAAGATGGAAACGAATACGTCCGGATATACGTCTGGTAACAAATACGCGGATACACATACCGCTTACGTTTCCTCTTGGCTTTCTCCCTGGTTCCGTAATCCTTACATTTGTAAACTTACCTGTAACAGAGAAAAAAAAGACAGACGTCATTAGAAACCAATAAAAATAATCACGCTGTAAAATGACGACACGTTGACCGTACTTTCGCAGAACTTATTGACATCCGCCCACCTTTCTCATTTTAATCATAGAGGCGGAATTTTGCGTCCGAAACTCGATATTATCTCGACAAAACCGATTAAGAAGTTTTATTACTCATGTCGGAGGGTGTGGCTCGAGCTAATTGCCCAAAATGCCCGACGCGCTGCTTAGTATAGTCCAGAACCCGGCATTAACGTTAATTCATGGTTCCCATGGAAGAGGATACCGCATTGTGCTGTCAATAATGATGTATGCCGATTACAACACGCGACAACGTCGTTATTATACCTTACCCTTTTATTATTGGGAACAGCTTTACCAGGTGTCAAACGCTGACTAAGCGAAAAGTTGACAATTAGCGTTATTATATGCCTCGTCTTGCTTTAATGACTGCTTGTGCCATTTCATAAGCGTGAGCAGGAACAAAGACGAGGGGAGAGGGGAGGGAAAATAAAAAGGAACTGTGTAGTTGGGACGTCGTTTTCATGACTGCCTGAAAGCAGTCATGAAAGAGGGCAATTAATTTAAGCTTCTGCCTCCTCTTTTGCGACGTAGGATAATATACATAAATATCACCGGTAAATCGCGCTCGCCGCTATTAATTGCTGAGGAGAAACGCTATCTTAACAAATTAAGAAAACCTTATGCGATTTCATACGGCTTATTTGACTTTTGCGTGGCACTTATATTTTCTCTGCTTCCACAGTTCCATAAACAACGTCATCATTAGCAATGGAAATCTGAATTGTAATATTTTTTACTCTCTTACACAATTCTGCTCTATTGCAAGTCAATGTTGTAACCGAAAATATCATCATGTCAGTGACCAAAATGTAATAAATTTACAGATTTGATATCTGCACGGAATATCGCTTTTTCATAGAAAATAAGTAAGAACTTGATTTCAATTCAATAGCCCTCATGATGAAAGCTCGTTCCTTGGCTCAATGTGCTCAAAAGTTTTTGCTTCCCTTCCTTCTGCGATTTCTTCTATCTCTTTCTATTTCCCTTAAGTGTTTGCAACTAGTTGAATGTTTGTGGAGTGTAATTAAAAAAAAAGCGGAAATTTTTCATACTGAGTAATATTAAATTGACGATGTCTGTTAATAGAAAGAAGAAAATATTTTTTGTTTTTATCAACTAAAATATATTCTACATCCAATTTACATCCAACTTGAAGCAGATCTCCCTGATAAAAGTCATATCTCTTTTTATCGACTAATATTGATTAAATGCGAATTATTAGCATGTGAATGCATTTCTTGCGGCATACTTTAAATAAAGTTCTAAGCGTAATCCGATTTAATACGATAATTTCGAATTCTGACCGCGCTTATTTCTTATCCATAACTCATCCGGGAAAGATTAAAAGAGTCGGTATGGTTATCGCGCGGATATTAATTAATCTAACCGGGAGATACGCTATACGTAAGCGCAATCTAAAACTATAAAACTAAGCTTTAATCGCGGATGACCGTGCGACTATAATTCTACGAAGGCGAAGGTTCTCTCGTTGTAGAAAATGTTCCACGAGCGCATGAAGTGTCATAAATTGTCTCATGGCGGGCGAGACCCGCGCGAGAGTAGTTAATAAATCGAAATAATTATCTTCTATTTAATGTTTCGCGCCCTCTGAGGAATGTCTCGTTACTCATCCGCCGCCGTATCCGCGTTCTTGAGCGTCACGAAAATTCTCACGGCCTTCAGGCGAGGTACCTTATGCGTCTTGCGCGCCTCTGCATATGTAGATAGCAATAGACACCGCAACAGGGGGCCTTTCGTTGCGGAGAATAACTAGAAATATGTGGGTATAGTCCTCTCTCTAGTATATTAGCATAGTTTATGCTGTGTTTCTCTCCGCGGTACTTTTGTACGGACGTACAATACAGCAAAGTAGCGTCGTAAAACCGACTTCATTCACTACGTAACGCTACGTGTCCCTTTCGCGCACACCGATAACTCCGTTGGCATTAAGGTCGGTTTGCATCACAATACCGAAAATTACCGGGGATTTTGTTTAGGCGTGTTTCGAGCGGCGAGTGAAATTTTCCGTACATCTCTTCGTTCATTTGTAAATTAAATCAGGATGATCGATAATAATACCCTCCCAAGTTACACGACCTGATTTCATGGAAAAAAAAAGAAATGCAGAAAGCTCATGTTCGCGTAACGTTATGATCGAGCAGATTCTATAAAGTGAAAAACTTTCGCGCAGATTCCATAAGATAAAGAATGAAAGTTCAGGATTATGTAAATGGTTTCTACGCCAGTCAACCTGGGGATTGCGCGCTCTGCGAAAACTTGGATCGATTACATTAATATGCATTCGCCATATATCATCAGCCCGCCCAGCATAATTTAAATATGTAGAATAATTTCGTAATGCTGTCGAATGAGATAATTTTATTTGCGCTCGCATCGGAAACCGCAAATTGTAAATACGTTGTTGCAAAAGATATTACTTAATTTCTGGATGTATCTATATTGTCGAGAGAAAGAGAGAGAGAGAGAGGAATAATTCGCGTAATGCGTTGAATGTAAAAGCGTTTAACGGCGTAAAGAAATTCAAAATCGGAAGAGCTCTGCGAGTTTTTTCCGAGACGCCGAGGAAAAGGTGAAAGAATCGAAGCAATACAAATGAAATTCCAGGATGCATCTATCTTCCGCATCGAACGTTTTTCCAAACACGTTCCACGCGCTCGCTTAATTTGGCCGACTAAAGATAGATGAAGTCGAAGGGGCCGAATCAACTGCGAGTAATACGATCTGTCATGGCAGAAAAACCATCACGTCGCTGCGCGTCTCGTAACTTTCCCGGTGGCAACAGCCACTCTTACGGCCTAATATTGATCTCTCGTCGCCTCCGCGGCCTTTTCTCCGCGCGGGGAACGCAACGGACGGAAATCGTAGGCGCGTGGGGACGCATACGAGCGAACGAGCATGCATGCATGCATGCATGCATGCGATACGCGGCCGCATCGCGTCAAAAGGGTACACACAGGGTTTCCCTATGCAAATCGCCAAGGGGGGCGCACATTCCCGCTAAAATAACCGTCGGGAATAATGCCGTAGATTGGGAGGTCGAGTTAGCGCGCGCATCGCGAGAAACGGACAATATATCGTTGGGCCGGCCATTACGGAGGATCATTAAATAGTCGACACGCCGAGATAACGAGCATTAACCACACAACTGCCACATTAGGTACGTATCCGCCATACGTGCGGAAGGTGTAACACGCGTCCAGAGCGGAGTGTGCAACGCGCTTCCTCCTCCTGCCTTCCGCGTGAAAACTCTATTCGTCTTCCTCCTTCTGGTCCATGCTTCGAAATGAGTGTTCGTCTTAAATTGGCCAAATTTAAAATCGATCCAACCGCGATTGTCGCGATTATTCGATTCGTTCCTTAAACTATTCCGACGCGCGTATGCTTTAGACTTGATTTTTAAACTCGATTTGATAAATTTAAATTACCGTTCGAACAATGTCAAATTTATTTTACAGACTTATTTCCAACAATGTATGTCCGTTTTGTACTTTACATGTAACATATACATAGATGTATGAATACTGATTTTGTGAATTTTGTTGAAAGAATAGAATTTTATTTCGGTATTGAATATCAAATTTACATACACGATACGATAATTCAAAGAGTAAAAATATTCGCTTATTGGAAAAAAAAACTTTGTTGCAGCAGCTTGCTTGCTTTTCTCTCGAGCGTATTCTCTGTTGCTTTAATTGGTCCTCAGCGGAGTGCACACGTAATTACGCAGCCAAAGTGTATTAACATTTGTAATACTCGATACAGTGACGTGATTTACAAAATGTTAAATTTTAGAGTTTTTGCGGAGAATTTTTTTATGTATTCACAGAATGGAAAATATATCCATAAGCTAAAGTATCTATGCAAAATACATCCTCTACGCTCCTTGAGATGCAGAACATTTCCTTTTTCGACGAGAATGTCACGACTCCGGTTAGTTCCTTTGCCTCCTGCATTGTTTTATCTCCCAGACAAGCCTTTTCTGTTCCATTACTAACGAAGAACATAAATGTTCGGGTACTCCATGTCCTTCGAGTACGTTTCTCGTTTATTCGCATTTCTACACTCACCGCAAAGAATACTCTTTGGATACTCAGTTGGCGGAATAAACCATATTGTTAACTGTATATATGGCGACGATTCGATGGAGAAGTGCTACATAAATTTTTCTTTGTCTCCCTTTCATTGTCAGCTCCTATGTGATTTCAAAAAAAACAATTCAAGTATAATCGACCGTAGTTGAAAGCATTCCTTAATCCATGCAGTGAAAAATAAAAGTACATAAAAATAGACGTAGCTGAAAGAGTAATTCCATCATCTTTCGGATCTATCGAGAGTAATCAAGTCGCATGATGATCTGGTAAAAGTGCTCCGTTAAAAGCTTTCCGTTATTTGTATCACGATGGAGTGCATAGATAGACGTTTGAGACTTTTCAAAGACGATTTTTTACTAAACGATTTGAATGAAAACAACATTAGACAGACATAGGGACTCTCGAGGGATACGCTGCGTATCCTCGTGCTTATTAGACGCAGGATTATCGTGCATACAGAACGATCTCGTACCCGCTTATTTCGCTCGGTACAGGAAACTAATAAGAAATATTCAGCGCGATTACCGTGCGTGTTCAGTGTCTATTAGCGCGTCGCTGAGATAATTGTTACCTATTTGACGTTTTTCTCTTCCTCTGACTCGTTTCAATTCGATCTAATGTCGCGGAGGAAAGTTATTCGAGGCCGCGAGCGAGGATATCCAGGATATCCAAAAGATATACTGCGAGAACTCTCCGAGTGGCCATAAATCACTCACGTGCACTCGGACTCATATATACTTACTTTCAACCAATGAAAGCGGGATAATAAGATTAATGCGTGA